TTCTTTCCATCTTTTATCAGAAGGATTATAAACTGATGATCTTTATTTTATTCACATATTGTGAAATGTGGAGGAAAAACAAATTAATGTTGGGGTGGGCTTTGCAGTGTGAGACATGCATGTGGTCGATGTGAGGTTTGCAGTTGTGTGTAAGACAGGGCATGGTTTAGAGGCAGTATGAGACATGCATGTGGTCGATGTGGGGTTTGCAGTTATGTGTAAGACAGGGCACGGTTTAGAGGCAAAGGGGAAGGAAATCACTTGGGTGAATGGAAGGAAATTCATCCCATTGAAGTAAGAGGTAGGAAGAAAACGGGACGAGAGAAGTCCTTCTCTGAAATGACTTGATTTTGTACAGAGCAGCAAAATTACCTGCTCTTTGCACCTCCCCCACTACCATATGCTTCTTTCAAATTCCCCTTTTCTGAACTTGAAAGGACCAGCGCTTAATCGTATTCATGTATTCGAAGTGTTGGGCTAGTGGTTTTGTATTTATCATGAGATGCAGTGAAACAGAAATCCAATATGATTGATGAGGTGAAAATAAAATGATTGGTTAGTGGAAAGAATTAAGTTAACAGGTAACTTTACAAGAGGCAGTTGGTCTTAAATAAATCAAGGTACAAGATCACAGACAGGTTCAGGGACTAAAGTACATGCCTGGGTACCTCAGTGTCTATCTAGGCTGGGAAAATTCAGTAGGTTACACCAACAAGAGACTCAATGGAAGACACCTCAGGGCTTGAACAGGGGAAGCAACTTCACTAAAAGGTCACATTTTCTAGAATGTCTTGCATTTAGGTATAGTAGTAAAATTAGACAGGGTGAAAGACAGGGAACACCACAGATAGTGCTATAGAGGAAACCAGCAATATCGTACGTGCACACGCACACCTGACATATCACACACTGTTCTGCCGCTGCTGCTTCATAGATTACCTCAGGCACAGCCTATACTTTCTCTTCCTGTTGACAGGGCCAGTCCATTGCTGACACCCAATAGGGAATAACTTGGGAGCCAGACCCTGAGTGGAGAATCAATGGAAGCTTAAATAAACCAGGGACATTATGGCCCATAATTTTCATCAAAATACACCTGCTTCTAATCCTCTGCTTTCTTACCAAAACTGCTTCTTCATTTCAGCCTCTCTGAGGAAGACATTTACATTGGGATTTGTAGAGTCAATGCAGAGACAGAGGAAAGGGAGAGAAGGTGAACAGTGCTTCCTGGGCTCCGTGGGACCCAGTCAAGATGCGCACTTTTACTCTAAGAAGACCAACCTTCTCCTCCTTTCCAGAGGAAGGCAGTAGGCAGCCTATCACAAGTCTGCCGCTGTAAGGTCATGGTCACACCTTTGATGTTGGTTTCTTTATTCATAAAATAAGTTTTACGTAGTTGCTTGTGTTATAGATTGGAAATAATGAGCACAAAGGGGCTGATATGCAGTTGTCATCAGTTACTGTAATGCATCTGGCAACACTGGCCGCAAGACCCAAAGTCGGCAAGGTCTGTCTCCACCTTTCAGCCTTGGGTCCGACGTTCCCCTCTACCCACAGAGCTGACGCTCAAGTTGGAACTAGCCCTACTGGCTCTTGCTGTCTCCTCTTTCCCTTCATGGCTTTGCATCACACTGCAGCTACTGGACTGGCTAAAGCAGCAGGACAGATAAGGTCCTGAGCATCACCACCCACTCAGGACCACACACCTGAGCTCTGGGCGCTAAGCTCCTTCCTCTCCTGTTTCCAATAGCAAAAAAAAGGTTTCTGGGCCCACAGTACCCCCTCATGGCTGACATGGGGAATTTTCTTTTCCCAGAGATGTCTGTCTTCTTGCTCAGCCTGTCATATAGGTCACTGAACTGTTCATTTCAGCCTGAACCCTTTACATTTCTCTCAAAGTCTCTGCAACCTTTCCTGCCTCATTGCTTATGAAATACTGCTCCTCCTCTTCCTCTTCCTCTTCCTCCCTCTCTTCTTCCTCCGGGGAGCTCAATCCATAGAGTGCATTCTGTGTAAGCATGAGGCTCTGAGTTTGATACCTAACACCCATGTTAAAAGGGTGGGGCATGCCTATAATCCCAGTTCTGGGAAGGCAGAGACAGACGGATCCCTGGGGCTTAGTGGAAAGGCAGTTTAGCCAAATCCAGGAGATCCAGGTTCAGTGAAGAATCCTGTCTTAGAAAAATAAGGTGGAGGGTGAGGACTGTAGACCTTTGGCCTTCAGATACACCTGACTATACATGCATGTGTACACGAACATGTACACACATGAACAAGTACACACACCAAGAAAATCTTGTGCAATTGTTTCAGGAGGAACTATTTCTTTCTTCCTTTCATTCCTTCACTTTTTCCTATTTATGAATCATCAAATTATTATGATTATGGCTGAAAAGTATACTAGTAAGATGTACCTCTTGTCTATCAAGAAAGAAAAGCTATACATTTAGGGGCCAGGGCTGTAGTTCAGTAGTAAAGCATTTACCTAGTATATGAAAGGCCCAGGGTTTGATTTCTAGTCCCACAGAAAACAAAACAAAAACCCTCTATTCATTTATAAGGTAGAGTATAGAACCACCCTCATTAACCAAACACCCACGGAGACGTCCTGCTGTGGCTTTGAGAAGTGTACGAGTGTACAAAAGAGCCACCTACCCTACGTCTTTCTCCAGGTTACACTGGTCTTTTCCTGATAGTATTTTCCTACTTATGTAACTGCCAAAATGGTCCTAGCTTGTTCCCTACTGATCCATTCAGCTGCAATATGGGTTAAGTGCATTCCTGTGGGCTATTCTGGAAATCAAAACACAATCTTTCAGCATTAGTTTTCTATGGAAAGTGAATTCAAAGCCCCAAACAAATGCTTTAGAGTGAACACTGGAAAATACTATCTATCGTAATTTAATATGGAAAGTTTTGTCTAAGACATTTAAAAGTCACATTGATGCCTGGATTCTGTGAGTTTTATCTATTGAATCATGACATCACCTGAAATTAGCACTTACAAAGCTATTCAGGTATGATTTATCTGGACAGACATTGATTCTTTTGGGAAAAAAATAACATTACCTTCATCTTGATTTGACACATTATGAGATGTTCTAGTAGGTCATTAAATTCATTTCCATGAGTAGAGATTGCTACTTGGTGATAAAACATGAAACATGTCTCAAAATATAAATGCTTCTTTTCCTGAATGTAAATCCAAATAATTCAAATGATTTGTATTTTTTATGTGCCATGGTCTGAGTTTAAATTATTTAAAAAATTATTTGGAAGCCAGGCATGATAGTGAATGCCTTTAGTCCCAGCACTCGGGAGGCAGGCAGATCTCTGTGAGTTCAAGGCCAGTCTGATCTACATAGTGAGTTCTAGGACAGCTGGGGCTACAGGGAGACCCTGTCTCAAAAAGACAAAACAACAACAACAACAACAAAGGTCAATCATTTGGGTGAGAATCATTAAAATGGAGTTAATTTCATGCCATATGATCAAATCTTCCTTGAAGGAAGTTTATTCCTTTGTGTGTGTGTGGTATAAGCTTGTGCTCTCAAGTGTGTGCAGGTTTTACCCACGTGGGCACTGGTGGAGGCCAGAGTTTCACGTTGGGATGTCCTCTGCCTCAATGGCTTCTCAGCCTTATTTTTGAGACAGGTTCTCTCAGTGAACTTGGTGCTCACTGTTTTGGCTAGACTGGTTGGGCAGCAAGCCCCTGGAATCTACCCGTTTGCCCCACCCAATCCTGGGGCACCAGGTATGCCTTGCTATGCCCAGTTTTTATGTGAGGACAGTGGATTTGAACTCAGGTCCTCATGAATTCACAGCAAACACTTAGCCCACTCTTGCATCTCCCTAGCCCTAGAAGTTTTCTTAAACTAGGGATCGTAAGACTTCACTAATATCTAATTAGATTATTTCTGTCAAAACAGGTTTAATTTAGTTGTTAAACTTAAATTTTAAAGTAAAAACTTAAAAACCTGGTATGAAACAACTGAATTATTTAATGAAATAATGAATAAACTATTGTGTCCATAGATGGGTATAAAAACACAATTTCAAAATGCTTCTATAAGACACTTTCTTAATTGAGTCATAATTCAAGGTAATGGTTGCATACTTTCTCTTTAAAATGATTTCCATACTCACAGTACTGAAATTGTTTTCTCTTTAACACAAATGATACAAATTAAAGCTATAAATACACAGCACCCAATCCATTTTTAAAAATCCTGTGAAAATGGACACTGTACATTAATTCTAGATGACCACTAAGAGAAAAACCATGAGGAAATCAAGAATGATGTAATACAATAACTATGCCTTGCACAGGGTATTTTAAATGACCATCCCTCAAATCCTGGTATTTGATCTGATGTATTTTTATTTTTCCCTGATAATATGCATCACTTGAATGTTAAAGTTTTAGTGATACAAATTAAAACCCTCAGTAATAATGTTTTCAAAAGCATTATGTTTAAATTATTTTCTCAGAACCCGAAGAGAAAACACTAGAGGAAACATAACCAGACTGAATTGCTTAAAATGTATTTTCCCTTTAATTAAATAAGAAACATCTGTCTAGGGATTTTGGAAATGAATGTAATCCATCCACACTCTGCCTGTAGTAGTTTGCATCCAATGTCCAATATTTTGAAAAAAAAAAATCCTTTCTTTCTGTAAAGAATTAAAACAGGAACATGGAGTGGCGTCTGGGTCTACTGCAGGGAAGTCTAGCCTCTGGAGCTGGAATGAAGGCTTTTCCCAGATCTGTATTTGGGGAAGAACCGGATTCTCTCTGTAGTCAAGGCTGTAACTCTCTATTCCTCCCAAATATCCATTCACCCTAAAAGTACTCGTCCCTGGACAGTAAGGAAACACGTTACCAGAAGCAACCCAAACCCTTGCATTGGCAAAAGGAGTGCAAAGAAAGTACAAAGTCGCCACCGGGATGGCTCTGGCTCTTCCAAAGAGGGCCCACCGTCCGGAATAGCGTCACTTACTGGTGGTGTCAAACGGGATCTGCTTGCATTGTATGGACCCCTGTGCTGGCCACGGACAGTAATAGACAGCTCCGCCCTCCACGATATCCGGCTGGCTGGTGTTGGCTTTGGGCGCTCCCACCAAGACACTGGCTCTGCAAAAGGGTTGGAGAAGGTCACTCCTTGGGGATCATAAAAGTGTACGCATGCAGTTCAGTCTGTAGCGACATGCCCACTGGACTGGAGTAGGGGTGGAGGACAGAAACGGGCTTACAATGGGGGGGGGGGCTGTCAAATTTGATTTCCTCTTTGGAAACCTATGAGCACCAGAAACCTTATTTTTGGAAGAGGGTCTAAGTGGTCCTAAAATCTCTAGCTGGAGCTAAGTGGAGACAGTGTGATGGGGAAAAGCAGAGGACCAACCCCCACAAGCACTTGAGCCTGGGGCTCTTAGTTGTTAAGCACTTCAACTCGGTAGAAACAGCCCATGTTGTGGTCCTTGCTCTAATTGGGCTTGAGTCTGTTCGGTCCCATTCTCTCTTTGTAGGATGCCCCTTTCAACCCGGACAAGCCAAACGGCGCGGCTTCAATTCAAGGCTCACAGGCACATCTAGCATGAGCCAGGAGAGAAGATGCCGCTGGCCAGAGGGGAGAGAAGTGTCCGAGTGGACAGCGGGCTGGGATCTCAGACACCCCTTCCTCCAGGCTGTGGGGACAGAGAACGGACCAATGAGTCGGCTTGTTCACGCGCGCACGCCACCCCAGCAGTGACTTACGTGCGAGCATCAGGCATGTGGAAGTCCAGTGCGTAGCCGAAGTAGCTGCCCTCGGGGCCGCTGTACACCGTGAGCTTGTCCACGTCCAAGTTGAAAGCCAGCGACGCGGGGTACCACAGCATCCCCAGCGCGGCGGAGACGCAGCACAGGCGCGCTAGCGGGGATACCCGGCTCCCCGGGGGACTGCGGAGGGCCCAGCGAGACATCGCCGTCCGCCCCGTGGGCTGCTCACCCGGGAGCGGGAGCCGTGGAGCCCGGGGGACAAAGGCCTGGCCGTCCCCAGATGCCCGCGTCGTCCCGGGTCAGTGCGCGCGGCGCGTCCGGGTGACAGTCCTGGCGTCTGGTCCCGACCGCCTGCCCTGCGGCTCAGGTTCGGCGGCGCGGCTCTGCCCCTTCCCCGGCGGGCGGGGGCACTGAGCGCTCGCGGCGCCCCCTAGCGGCGGCTCCCCAGTCTGCAGTCCGGAGTCCGCTGGTCCCCGCCCGCGGAGGCGCCATAGGGCTGCTGGGCTTCTATAGCAGTTGCAATCTCAAGGACCATCTGAGTCTCCTCCTCCGCACCTCAAGCTATTGTTTGGAGGAAACCCGGCTCCACACAGGGCAGGGGTTTCCTCATTTCCCACGATTGCGCAGCTCGGATGGAAGCCTGGGAAACTGAACCCCATCTCCAGACAGAATAAAGCAGTCATCTGGGCATCACCTCTACACCCTGAAGAATCTGATTCAGGGTCAATGCTTTCTTCCTCTGAATGAGGTCATCGAAATGTAACAATCCTCTCCTCCCTGGATCCTGCAGAGGCACTAATAGTGAAAGCCTGTAGAGTTTGCTCAGTCTTTTTCAAAGGCATCTCGGGTATATTGAATGACTTGGTAGTAAATCTCAACCTTGTGTGGTGATGAAGACTCAAAGGGAGGAATGCCGCAGTTCACAGTTTATGAAAGCAGGGTTTGAAGGTGTGGGTTGGAATCAGCAGGAGTTCCAACGTCAGTTGCAACCCACGGATATTAATGATTGACCTAGCTTCAAGGAATCAGCAGGTGGGTGGAGAAAAGAAACGTGGTATAAATGTCCTTACCTAATATACAAGCTTCCCGGAACATAGGCTTAGTGCTTCAACGATTTGAAGCTGAGGTCAAGCAGACTTTGAGAGTAGATTAGACGCAGAAGAGAGGGACCTGGTTGCACATGCCTGAGGTCCATGCACTCAAGAGGCTAAGGCAGGGGGATCATGAGCTCGAGGACAGCCTGGGCTAACATAAGTTCAAAGCCAGCCTGAGACTTTGTTTAAAATAAGAAGTAAAGTAGTGGCAGAAGAGGTGTACCGTTTAAGGAGATTTGTTGGCAAATAGAGATTTAGGCAGGAATCTGAGTAGGGGACTTGGAGTTGGACTTTTTAGGAGACGATGAGGGAGCAGTGAAGACACAAAACGTGGGGTTAAACGATTGTGCACGGGATTGGGATAAAAGGAGTGAATTAAGAGGTGGTGGGAAATGGGGCTAGATGGACCTTCTGAGACCCAGGACCGAATTACAGGAATCTGTGTGGCGGCAGAAGGATCCAGTTCTGGGGTAGAGGGATCCAGTTCTCAAGCAGAGATTTGACATGCGTTGGAGATTCAAAAACCTCAGCAGCCAGTTAGTTGGTGGAAGGAAGATGGAAGGAAGAGAAAGCGGAGAAGCTCTGTTTAGATACATGGGGAAGTTCCAACCTGGTTAATAGAGCTAAGGGAAGAAAGGACCAATACTAAATAAATAGTAAATAAATACTAAAGAAAAGAGAAAAGATTGAGGGAGGATAAAAAGATAGAGCATCCAAGCTGAGTCTAAAGGTATCTTACTTGAAGTAATGAATAAGAACCAGCAGTGAAGCAAAGTGAGCAGGCTCAGGGAGCGTCCGTTTCAATGTGACCTTTGTGGGATTAGTACTATTTGCTGATACAATTTTGAGAGACTAGAGAAAAATCTCTGTCTACTGAAAAACCAGATTTTCTCATTTCCTTTCCATCGGAATCCACTTGGTATAATGATTTCAATTCTGTATTTTTACTTGTCCCTTAAAAAATAAAAAAATAAGCTGTCAGAAGGTTCCCTGGAAAATCATCACATCTGGGTCCTTACCTAACTGTATTGTCCCCTTCCCAAATATAAGGACTCCAGAGTAGAAGTCAGAGGAAGGTTCTTCTTCTTTACCCTGCAGTCCACTTGTTGTATACAGAAGGTGCTACTTAAGTCGTTATTCTTACTAATAATAAAATGACAATTTCCCAAATGAACTTCAATGAATAATTCACACAGAGCACACATGGAACTTCTCAGAGCTGTTGTGGTCATTGAGGCTAGGAAGTAACCTCAACTTGGTCATTTCCTGACACTGGTATGCTGAAATTTGGAAGGCTGTCATATTGTAAGCAAGCTTAGGGTTTGTGTGGAATGCCTAACAGAAGTGACAGCATGATACTACATGTGCCCTTGGCCACGAACAGACTTACTAAGCAGAGCTAGCCCTGCATTGCACAATATACATCAAAATATATTCCTTGATTCACATAAAGCAGCTCATCATCAGAGCATCCCACTTGCTTATTCCACTGGAATATTCATCACCTTTTTATTCTTTGGTTTAACTTGAGTGGGTAAGAAAAACAGTTACTGTATGTGGTCTGCATATATGTGCTTGTGTGTGTACATATGTGTGCAGGTTTGTATACACATGTGTGCATGTGTATAAATAGTCCAGAGGTCGATGCTGGGTGTCTTTCTCAATCATTCTCCACCTTATTTTTTGAGGCGTCTCACTAAGCCTGGAGCTCACTAATTCAGCTCTGTGGACTGGATGGCCGGTAAACCCCAGGGACTCTCCTGTCTCTGCCTCCTCAATGTTGGGATTACAAGATTGCTCTGATATGCCCAGGCTTTACAGGGTGCTAGAGATTGAACTGAGGTCTTCCTGCTTTAACAGCAAGCCTGTACACACTAAGTGATCTCCCCGGCCCCCATCTCATTTTGCCACATAAATTAATATATTCTCCCTTCTTCTGCATGCATTGCTCTTGACTTACGCATCTTTATTCTTAATATTATCACTCTCCACTTGACAGATGAGAATGGAGATTACGGTTGCAGGAAGTACAATAAATGGTTGCATGCTCATAAAGCAAGAAAGTGGTGTGATTTGAGCCCAAGCCTATCAAATACCAAGAGAATTCCTTACACTATTAGGTTTCAAGAAATACTTTCTTAAAGCTGTGATTATCTTGAGAACTTGCCTTCCTACAGGCAGAAGCTATTTGGTGCTGACCTTTTGGGCATGCCCATGAATACTGCTTGTGGGGTAGCATAAAGCAGCTGTGTACTTTTCCAACATGCTTGGGGAGAGGTTTGATGATACCTTGTTATCGGAGAGTGGAGGGAATGCAAGCTATCAGGAAGCTCTTTAGCCCCTTCTGGGAGGCGTACAGTCTGAATAGGTGTCTTGTACGTCTCAGCCTTCTGGCACTTGGGAACCATGCCAATCAGGAAGGCCTGGGGTCCTGTCAAAGACAAGCATGGATCGTGACAGGTCTCATGCTCAGTGAGAAGTTTGACATTCTAAAGATCTACTGGGGCTGATTTATTTGTCAGAAACACAAGTCTGGGAATTGTTTATCATGCATGTGAGTATATGTGTATGTTTAATACCGAGAAAGGTATACATAGTTGTTTCCCTAAAAAGAAAGAACCCAAAGGTCAAAGATGGAACAGATTTGGTCCAAACACTCTAAAAATAAACAAGAGTACCAGAGAAAAAAACTGACCTCAAAGTTCTAGCTATGTACAAGTCATGTAGCTTAAAAATAGAGATGTTGTAACATTTAACCAATTAGTGCAAACTTTTTAACCCAATGTATTCATAACCTAAGGATCAACTATTGTTTCTGACTCTGTTTAAGCCTATTTCTTTGTATGTTGAAATTCAATCAGGAGGTCTGGGAGTCCTGACAGGATTATTTCACTAATAGAATCACTCTTTCAATATGTTAACTAAACTATTTATGAAATAAGTCAATGTAGAAACAGTGTGCTCCTAAAGGATCTATCATCTTTAAATTTTAAAAATGTATTTACATAACTGAGTGTGGTGGTGCACACCATTAAGTCCAGGACTCAGGAGGTAGAAGCAGGCAAATCTCTATGATATCAAGGCCAGCTTGGTCTACATAGAGAGTTACAGGCCAGCTGGGACTACAGGGAGACCTTGTCTCAAGAAAAAAAAAAAACACCAAAAAATTATTTACGTGTGTATGTGTGTGTGTGTGTACACATATGTGTATGTATGCACACATACCATTGTAAGTCTGTAGAGCAATGGAGAAGAGCGGGTGACTGCACAGGAATCAGCTCTCTCCTTCCTTCCACCGTGTGGGTTCTGGGACTCAAACTCAGATGTCGAGCTCTGAGACAAGTGCCGCTAGTCACTGAGCCACCTTGCCCGGCCCTCCATTAGCTTTAAAAATAAATGTATCAGAAAGGGAAAACTAGTTTTCCAATCTCTTTTTGTATTTGAGAAATTGTAGCAATTACAAATTTTACTTTCGCTCAACATTTTTTTTTTACAGTTTACTGCAATATCAAAGCAACTTAGTAGGAACTGGCTAGTTAAACCTACGTTGGGAAAACAACTTTTTATTGTCTGCTGACATAAGCTTATGTCTGCAAATTTTCTATTTTGTTCTCTGGAGGGTGAATTTCCTCATAGTCAAATCATTTTCCTTCTTTTTGATGATTTTGTTTGTTATTCTCTTTTATGATTTTCCTTCATGATTTTATTAGCCACTTCTAAGTTACAAGTGCTGGAGCGATGGCCCCATAGAGTGATGGTCCCATGGAGCGATGGCCCCATGTTGTCAGAAATCCAAGCACAGTCAGCAATTGGTCCCACTGAAGGAAAATTTCCACCAGTCAGAACCAGACTCTCCAACTTGATCTTTTTAGATCAAGCCTTTCAAAACAGTTGGACTTTACAAAAAATATTAATAATTCATTCTTCCTCTAGATGGCAAGCAACTTAGGAAAATGATGGGAACTCCTAAGCTTTGAGATTTGCAGATAAATCTTCCTCACATCCTAGCCCTTGGGGAATTCCAACCTGTAACCAGACTCTTAAATGATAGACAGGTTTCAGTGAAAGTCACTTCACTCCAGAATCTCAAAAACCCAACTCAGGTCTTATGGGTGGGTAGGAATATGCCCTTTACTCTTCTTTAAATTTATTTATTATTTTTATTTTATTTGTATGCAGGTAATAACCTGCATGTATGAAAGTGCACCCATGTCGTGCAATGACCTCGGAGGTCAGAAAAGGGCATTGGACCCCCTGGAATTGGAGTTACTGATGGTTGTTAGCCACTGAGAATCAAACCCAGGTTCTCTGCAAGAGCAGCCAGTGCTCTTAACCACTGAACCAT